TTTTTACATTGATGCTGGTTGTGTGGTTGGAGGACGTGTGTAAGTAAACAGGGAAGATTTATTTATGGCTATGATCGCCGGATTATTTTTTTAATGCATATATTTTATTTTGTTATTTTATTTAATTAAATCATTAATTTTTTTTGTATATTTTTCATTTCTACGTTTTATTAGATTTAGGTAATGAGATTTTCATTTAAACCTTTTGATTAGGACGTAACTTTAGGTAGCTCAGAATGAATTTGTTTTCACCTTTATGCTGGTTGAGTGGTTGGAGTAAGTGTGTATGTAAATAGACAAGTTTTATTTGTGGTTATGATCTTCGGATGCTTTTTTAAAATGCATATTTATTATTTATTTATATAAATCATTAATTTAGTTTTGTATATTTTTTATTTCGTGTATTTTTTTTTGTTTCTATGTTTGATTAAAAATTTGATTATAAAAACTTAAATTTAAAATGATTTGTTACTGAAATTTCATAGCTATAGTTTCATCTTACACACACACACACACACACACACACACACACACACACACACACACACACACATATATATATAGTCATCCACAGTCAGACAGTTTCGTTGTATCACAGTTCATCAGTGTGGCTAGACATTTTTTTAAAGCAATAGACCCCAAGCAAGGCGGGAGTGCCACTAGCACGCAAGAGGTTACAGAGGGTTGAGAACAAGAGTAAAGAGGCGTGTTTGAGGAAAGGATACAGAGAAGGACGGGGAACAAGCTCAGGGTATCAGATGTCGATTGACATTACACTTGAATATTTGAAGATTATAGTTATCGAGGAAGCAAGTAAGGGAAAGGAGTTCCACAGACGGGAAGTGCGAGAGAAGAAGCTGTTTGAGTAGAAGAGATGGTTACATTTAATTGTTTTGACAGTGAAAGGGTGGGACCGAAATGACAACCTGGTAGCTCGTTTAAATTCATGTAGTCCGGGAACCAGCGAAAGTAGCTCGTCGGAACAGCTGCCGTGAAAATATTTGTAGAAGAGACAGAGGAAGGTCACGGCACGTCTGTGGGATAGCGATTGTTGATTAGGTGCCAGATCAAGAACTATCATCTTGCATATTCGTCTCTGGATTTTGTCGAGGACCTCGAGACGTACAGCGGGAGCACCAGATCATAAATGACAGCAATATTCCATGCAAGGACGGATGGTTGAGTTATAGATTTGAAGAATGGACTCAGATGTGAAAAATCTTCTGGCGCGACACAGAGAACCAGCTTTCCTTGCAGTGGATGAAACTATTGATTCAATGCATTTATTCCACCTCTTGCGATTGCTTTAAACCGGTATCGAAACCCGACTGATTTTATATCAATCGTAGACTCTCACTCTCGGGCCATAAGCGCACGCGGCGATGGAAAAGAATTTTTAACGCATTATACACGAGATATGAGCATTCCAAGCTACAAGAGTGCTCAATTTATAACGAAGAGCTTTTAGCGTTATAATTAACGCTAAAAGCTCTTCAGCAGCCGATAAATTCTCTTTCTTCGAAAGTGATCAACCTACGAGAGGGAGCGTATATATATTTACCGGGTGTAACAGTAAAATTGCTCAATTATTAGATTAAGCTTTGAACTGTTGTATCTTAGAAATGATTAAAGATATCTTACTGGAATTCCCCGAGGTTTTTAAAACTCTATTGGACTCTACTTTGAACAATAAAAATATATAATTAATCTCCAGTCTTAATGGAAGAATCGTAATGAAATCGATCATAAATGAAAATGATATTATTTAATCGTAGCTAAGGATGGGAAGCTCTTGAATGATGGAAATAAAGTTGAAAATATATATATATATATATATATATATATATATATAAGCGTTTCACCCCAAGCAAGGCGGGAAGCCACTAGGACGCAAGGGGTTACAGAAAATTTGGAGCAAGATCAGATAGGAGTGATAGAAGAGGGGATGAGGAGAAGGGTAGTGGATAGATCAAGGCAACTGGAGATGTCGATTGACATTACATTTGAATAGCTGGAGATTATAGCTCTCAGGGAAACTGGAATAGGGAAGGGAGTTCCACGGGCGAGAGGTGCGAGATATGAAGCTATTGGAGTAGAAGAGACGGCTACATTTAGGAGTTTCGACAGTGAAAGGGTGAGAGCGGGATGCCAGCTTCGTAGGGCGCTTGAACTCATGAAGTCTGGGAACCAGCGAATGGAGCTCCTAGGAGCAATTGCCATGAAAGTATTTGTAAAACAGACAGAGAGACGGCGCGTCTGTGAGAAAGTGACTGTAGACGAGATGCCAGATCAGGGCCAATTATATTCCATATTCCTCTGGAGCCTATCAAGAACCCCGAGGCAAACAGAAGGGGTTCCAGACCATATATGGCAGCAATACTCCATGCAAGGGCGAATTGTTGATTTGTAGATCTGGAGGATCGATTCCGGATTCCAGAATCATATTCCACCTTATTCACGATGATCTTTGCTCTCTCTAACCTTCTGCCTTTCTGTCTTAGAGTAACAAGGTGCCTCACATGTTTCACCTACGATTTCATTTTCAAGTATTTTTTCACTGCTCTTTGGAATGTTTTGGCTTAAACGTGTCAAATTTTATGTATTGAGTTGGATCATTTTAATCGATCACTTTACCTCTAAGTTGAAATGATGATCCCTCATGTTGTTGCAACCTCTTGATTCAGTTTTCCTCTCTTCTCTCTTTTTAAAACTTATTCACCATTCCTTTCATGGTTCTTGAATGGACTTTGAAGATGGAAATCAGAATATGAATGTTGGTGCCATTACTGAAGACCTGACTAATCATTTTCGCCTCACCATTGCTCAATTGGGAAGACATAGTGGGGCCGACAGAAAACAATTTTAACCTGTTCTCTTTCTAGCTGAATAACTCAAAGAGTTTTTCAATGATTCTTACGACAAATGGTGTCAAGATGGCTTAACGTCTTATCTGAAAACCCGGTAAAAAGAAACTCAATTAGTTTAGTGTTTTTTTCAGATATTGAACATTTTGTAGGAAGGACAATTATCCCATGTTGTTACACGTTTGGGATATTTTTTATAACACTATTAGACTCAGAATGCCAAACAACACGAATGTTATTGAAATAATGATCCCTCTTCCTGTTGTGACCTCCTGATCCAGTTTTCCTCTCTACTGTTCCCTCTTTTTAAAACTTATTCACCATTCTCTTGATGGTTCTTGAATGGTCTTTGAAGGTGAAAGCCAGAGTATGAATGTTGGTACCATTATTGAAGGTCTAAATGATCATTTTCTTTCACCATTGCTCAACTGGGAAGACAGTGATGCAGACACAAAACGATTTTAATCTGTTTCTAGCTGAATAACCCAAAGGATGTTTTCAGTGATTCTTACGACATAAAATGGTGTCAAGATGGCTAAAGGTTTTATCTGAAAACTTGGAAAAAAGAAACTCAGTTTACTGCTTTTTTTTTTTTTATATATTAAACATTTAGTGGAATGGACAATTATGTTGTTACACGATTTGGAACGTTGTGCTGTTACACCCGGTATATATATATATATATATATATATATATATATATATATATATATATATATATATATGAAAATTTCTCCAATTTAACCAGAAGAGAAGACAATATGTATGAATAAAAATGACAATAGGAAAACTAGTAATTGCTGACGCGTTTCGTCCAATGTGGACTTTATCAAAGCAAAATACGAAATGAATTTAATTGAACAAGGTAACTAATAAAAACAAAAACAGAATGTTCCTAGCAAGTGGCAATGTAGAGAAACGCTATTTTCATATTGTTAACGGAAAATAACGTCAGTGTTTGTCACGTGTGGAGAATATTGTCATTATATCTGTGTTGATGTATTCAACCATTTTCTTTTGATTCTATGATGGGTAGTACGTGTCAGGGTCCAATCCATGGGTAAAATAATTTACGTGATGCACGGGGACATAGAAATACCTAGAATGATTCCTATGCGCGCTGTAAGCCCACTGGGAGTATGAGACCCATTAGGTGCTGTTGTACTATCTCTCTAAGTGAAGGACCCTCTGATATAAAACCTGCGGCCTCTACCATTGTTCAGTCATCTTGCCATCGGCTTGTCATTGAATATTTGTTGGTGGATGGGGAGAGGGTGATATGTCTACGGAAGTGGGACGTAGAATCAACAGCAATCATGTGCAGATATCTCTTCTTTCTAAGTCCTATGTTGATAGGGGCATGGCAACGTGGGCAGGCCTAACAAACTGGGAGTCCACAGCACATGGGCGGCACAAGACTTATAAAATCGCCACTTGTTTGACTGGACAGCAGTGTGTTTCAGTGGGGTCTTGGGGGACCGAGCAGCCCATTTTAGGGAGTACACTGCTCATCCCTTTCGGGGGTAGAGGTCTAGAAAAGGTTCTTCTTAAAAGTAAGAAGAGATAGTCGTCTTCTATAAAGAAGTGGCAATCAAATATTGATATTTGATGGAAAGATCGATAACAGCTACAAGACTTGAGAAACGAATTTTCCTGAAAAATTGTTTTAAGTGAATGATTTTATAAATTTCACCCGTCAGTAGTACTGGCTGCTCGTTTAATGAATGACAAATATTTCCTTATAAGGAAACGGTTAAATTTAACATTAATTATATCGATGGGTTTGATGAATATTTTTTCCTATATTTGTTTTTTATATTTTTGTTATATGGGGGAATTGAACAATATTATTTTTCTATTTTTCCCGCATTTTTTTTTATTCTGTTAAGTGTGGAATGAAATCTTGACAAATTTTTTTACCAGAACATTACCTATTCTATTGTAATAGACTCTCCCACAGATATTAGTTAGTAGTAGCAGTGGCCAGTTGTGCTCAGTGGAGTTGAGTGAGTCAGTCGATGTCGGACATTGAAGTATCAACCATCACAACTAGATTGCTGCGTCATTAACTCTTATTTCAAGTTCCTAACGTTTTGTACGTCGGACCCTTTTAGGACCGACTTAGCTAAATACAAGCCTCCACTGTGGAAACTACTCACCAACACTATTGCGGTCTGTTCATTATCTATCTATCTATCTATCTATCTATCTATCTATTGCTGTCTGTCTATTATCTATCTATCTATCTATCTATCTATCTATCTCAGTCTGTTCATATCTATCTATCTATCTATCTATCTATCTATCTATCTTTTGATATCTTTTTGATATATGTTATACCTGAACGTACCTATTCTATTATTAATAGACTCTCCCACACATAAGTAGTAGTAGTAGTAGCGGTCGACAGTGGGGCTCAGTGGAGTTGAGTGAGTCAGTCGATGTCGGACATTGAAGTATCAACCATCACAACTAGATTGCTGCGTCATTAACTCTTATTTCAAGTTCCTAACGTTTTGTACGTCGGACCCTTTTAGGACCGACTTAGCGAAATACAAGCCTCCACTGTGGAAACTACTCACCAACACTATTGCAGTCTGTTCATTATCTATCTATCTAATTATATTCATATCTATTTCCGTTTGTTCAATATCTCTCTATGTCAGTCTGTTCATACCTATCTATCTATATACGTCTGTTCATATTTATCAAATCTATATATCTATCTTGGTCTGTTTCAATCTATCTATCTATCTATCTATCTATCTATCTATCTATCTATCTATCTATCTCAGTCTGTTCATTATCTATCTGTTTCAGTTTGTTCATATCTATCTATCTATCTATCTATCTATCTATCTATCTATCTATCTATCTAAGTATATTCATATCTATTTCCGTTTGTTCATTATCTCTCTATGTCAGTCTGTTCATACCTGTCTATCTATATACATCTGAAACTACTCTACAACACAAATCTACACCGTTTTTAATGGTATTCCATACATGTTTTTGGTTATTTTTACATTCCGCCCTTCCTCAATCGACAGGGAATTCCGAACAGAACACTTTATTTAATCTACGAGGGTAGACTGTTCTCGCCTAGTTCTTATTTTTAGTACAAGTTATTGCTCACCCTGTTTCCGCTGAATCCAAGTACACACTGCCCAGCCCAGGGATTGAACTCGTGTTACCAAATTCACAAACCAGAGCCTTAATCCGCTAGGCTGTTGCTACGCTAGTTGTTTTTTTTTTTTTTTTTTTCATCGTTGAATGCTTTTTTCGTTCGACGAATTATTAGATAATCTGTACCCGATGTTGAGCAAAGTTGGTTTGATTATGTTTCATTAGTCGTTGGAGGAGGTTTGCATGTAAAGTGGGTGGTCATTAAGATGTCTGTAAAGTTAGGGCGTAGTTTTGAAGAGGTTTAAAGTTACGTCTAGGACGTCTACCTCTTTTCTTTTGGTTAATTTGATATCGATTTCAAATCTTATTTACTTGAAAATTTTAATAATTACTTTTATCTGTTTTTTTTTTTTTTGTTTTTTTGATGGTAATAGAATTTTCTTTCTGCTGCCCCTTCTTATATATACAGGGGGATTGAAAAGTAAGTTCCAATTTTAAAATAATTAAAATTTATTTATTAACTATAATTTTTAAAAGAAGAAATGGATATGAGTGGAAAGTGTTTTGCATGGGCACCAGATTTCGTTACCAGATTCTTGAGCCGCCCAGGAATCGAATCAACTGATTTCACCAGGAACTCTTGTGGTATGGAAGACATAACTTCTTATATTCGCCCTTCAAGTTCTTCCAAAATCTTGCTTTGGTATAATAGACTTTCTTCTTTAACCAAAACCAAAGGAAAAGGTCACAGGGTGTTAAGTCAGAACTTTTTTTAAAAAAGTTTTTCAAATTTTAAAGTTTTTTTTAAATTTTAAAGTTATTCAAATTTTAAAGTTTTTTCAAGGCTTTTCAAATTTTAAAGTTTTTCCAAAGTTTTTCGAATTTTTAAGCTTTTTCAAATTTTAAAGTTTTTTCAAAGTTTTTCAAATTTTAAAGTTTTTCAAATTTTAAAGTTTTTCAAATTTCAAAGTTTTTTCAAGGTTTTTCAAATTTTAAAGTTTTTCAAATTTCAAAGTTTTTTCAAAGTTTTTCAAATTTTAAAGCTTTTGCAAATTTAAAAGGTTTTTCAAATTTTAAAGTTTTTTCAAGGCTTTTCAAATTTTAAAGTTTTTCCAAAGTTTTTCGAATTTTTAAGCTTTTTTCAAATTTTAAAGTTTTTTCAAAGGTTTTTCAAATTTTAAAGTTTTTCAAATTTTAAAGTTTTTCAAATTTCAAAAGTTTTTTTCAAGCTTTTCAAATTTTAAAGTTTTTAAATTTCAAAGTTTTTTCAAAGTTTTTCAAATTTTAAAGCTTTTTCAAATTTAAAAGGTTTTTCAAATTTTAAAGTTTTACAAATTTTAAAGGTTTTTCAAAGTTTTTCAAATTTTAAAGTTTTTCAAATTTTAAAGTTTTTCAAATTTTAATGTTTTTCAAAGTTTTTCAAATTTTAAAGTTTTTCAAATTTTCCAAATTTTTTTTTCAAAGTTTTTCAAATTTTTAAAGTTTTAAAAGGTTTTTTTTTTAAAATTTTTTTCAAATTTTTTAAAGTTTTGCAAATTTAAAAAGTTTTTTCAAATTTTAAAGTTTTACAAATTTTAAAGTTTTTTTCAAAGCTTTTTCAAATTTTAAAGTTTTTAAATTTTTTTCAAGTTTTTCAAATTTTTGCAAATTTCAAAGTTTTTCAAATTTTTTTAAAGGTTTTTCAAATTTTAAGTTTTTTTTTTCAAAAGTTTTTCAAGGTTTTTTCAAATTTTAAAAAGTTTTTCAAATTTCAATTTTTTTTCAAGGTTTTTCAATTTTAAAAAGTTTTTCAAATTTCAAGTTTTTTTCAAATTTACTAAAGTTTTTTTTTTCAAATTTTTTTCAAATTTTTTAAAGTTTTTTTTCAAATTTTAAAGTTTTTTTCAAAGTTTTTTCAAAGTTTTTCAAATTTTAAAGCTTTTTTCAAGGTTTTTTCAAAATTTTTTTTTTTAAAGGTTTTTCAAATTTTCAAGTTTTAAAGTTTTTTCAAATTTTAAAGTTTTTCAAATTTTAAATTTCAAATTTTTAATTTTTTCAAGGTTTTTCAAATTTTAAAGTTTTTTCAAAATTTCAAATTTTTTTTTTCAAAGTTTTTCAAATTTTAAAGTTTTTCAAATTTTAAAGGTTTTTTTTTCAAATTTTAAAGCTTTTTCAAATTTTAAAGTTTTTTCAAATTTTACAAATTTTAAAAGGTTTTCAAAGCTTTTCAAATTTTAAAGTTTTTTTTCAAAGTTTTTCAAAGTTTTCAAATTTTTTCAAATTTAAAGTTTTTCAAATTTCAAAGTTTTTTCAAGGTTTTTCAAATTTTAAAGTTTTTCAAATTTTAAAGTTTTTCAAAGTTTTTTCAAATTTTAAAGTTTTCAAATTTTAAAAGTTTTTTCAAGGTTTTTCAAATTTTAAAGTTTTTCAAATTTTAAATTTTTTTCAAAGTTTTTTTTCAGTTTTTCAAATTTAAAGTTTTTCAAATTTCAAAAGTTTTTTCAAAGTTTTTCAAATTTTAAAGCTTTTTCAAATTTAAAAGGTTTTTCAAATTTTAAAGTTTTACAAATTTTAAAGGTTTTTCAAACTTTTTTTAAAAAAATTTTTTCAAAAGTTTTTCAAATTTCAAAGTTTTTTCAAGGTTTTTCAAATTTTAAAGTTTTTCAAATTTTAAAGTTTTTTCAAAGTTTTTCAAATTTTAAAGTTTTTCAAATTTTAAAGTTTTTTCAAGGTTTTTCAAAAAGTTTTCAAATTTTAAGTTTTTTTTTCAAAGTTTTTCAAATTTTTTTTCAAATTTCAAAGTTTTTTCAAGGTTTTCAAATTTTTTTTCAAATTTTTAAGTTTTTTCAAATTTCAAAGTTTTTTTTCAAGGTTTTTCAAATTTTAAAGTTTTCAAATTTCAAAGTTTTTCAAAGTTTTTCAAATTTTAAAGTTTTTTCAAATTAAAAAGTTTTTCAAATTTTAAAGTTTTCAAATTTTAAAGTTTTTCAAAGTTTTTCAATTTTTTTTAATTTTTTCAATTTTAAAGTTTTTTTTTTTCAAAGTTTTTTTTTTCAAATTTTAAAGTTTTCAAATTTTAAAGTTTTTTCAAAGTTTTTCAAATTTTAAAGTTTTTCAAATTTTAAAGTTTTTTCAAAGTTTTTCAAATTTTAAAGTTTTTCAAATTTTAAAGTTTTTTCAAAGTTTTTCAAATTTTAAAGCTTTTTCAAATTTAAAAGGTTTTTCAAATTTTAAAGTTTTACAAATTTTAAAGGTTTTTCAAAGCTCTTCAAATTTTAAAGCTTTTTCAAATTTTAAAGTTTTTCAAATTTTAAAGTTTTTCAATTTTTAAAGTTTTTCAAATTTTAAAGTTTTTGCAAATTCAATAACTGAGCGTGAGATCAAATTTCATAAAAGAGGTACCTATAATTTTTACGTACATATTTTATGAAATTTTATGGCATTATCTTTATTTATTATCATTTTCTATATTATTTCAGCTATGAAAAAAGATCCTAACTGAGATAGTATAAAAATTAATAATAAATACAAGTAATACCATAAAATTTCATAAATAAGATAGATATTTAATAGGTACCTCTCCTATTTATGAAATGTTATTTTTTATGCGTTAATTTTTTTCCTTATTTCCTTATCCCATCTTACATTATGACATTTATGAAAATGGGAAATTTACATTGTTTACATTATTCTGACTATTGTCCTCATCTTTGTCGCCATATTTATTACAACGTTTCGGCAGCTGGTTGGAATGTCGAACTGAAGCCTTTATTTTGCTTACTGGGGGAGACTGTTCTAGTTCCATGTTTAATGGATGTCAGTTATCTCCTGTTAATTCTCCACTGTTTTAACCGGGTATTGAACTCACACTCTTTGGGTTCTGTCACTGGATCTAACCAACGCCTTTATCCACTGTGCCATGTGTCCTTGGGTATGAATTTCTGGGTATAATAAACCTAATGTCTTCAGCAACCATTTTTACCAGTGCTCATATTGCAATTTTTGCTGTTATCATTTCATGTTTTTACCAGAGCTCATATTACAACTTTGTTGTTATCATTGCTTTTCTCTTGAGCTCCTTATTACTGGTTCCCATATTGTATTTATTTCTATGCTTGGTCGACTCAGGAGATTTTTGTGGCCTAGCATATGTGCATAAATAATGTACATAATACCTCATCTCAGAAATATAGACAGACTCTGGGAAATTTACGTATTAAATATGTAATAATTTACACTTATTTTATTTAATCATAGCCCACTAACAATAGAAGTGTCAAAAACAAAAAAATAACTTGCTATGTAAATGATTTCAGACAGAAACGAAGATGTCTAACGCCTAAAGAATATGATTACTTTTATTTCCGTCACTTGAATTGAAACTAAAAAAAAGAAAATAATTAATTTATAGTTATAAGGGGTGGGGGTTACAGATATAAAAATATTTTTACCATGACATATTAACCATAGTCTATGAATATAGAATACAGCGCAGTACGTAATATGTTCAATAAAACAACGTTAAAGATTAACAGTCACGAGTCAGACACTCTACTGAATCTGACTATATCGCCAATACCACCAGCAGCTGTTCCGTAATTCTTCAGTCTTCGATATCAAAGGCTGGCAGTGAATATTCAGGAAAAAAACATGGCCGCCTTTATACACGTCGCATCGAATATTTTGAGTCTTCTGATTGGTTAACCCTTCTTTTGGTGAACTATAAAATAAGTCAGCTCATTTTGGCTAGCTCACTAGTACACCGAAGTACCCAAAAATTCTAACATGACATTC